TACCGTCTATCCTAATACTTCACCAACCAAAATATAAAGTCCTTGAGGTAGACTGAATTCTGTTTCAACCTGGGAGTTTTGTTTATGTTATGCTTAGATTGACATCTTAAATTTTCCATTACTTCTCTGATGCTGAATGTTGTTGAACTCAAACATCATGCTTATGTTGAATGTTGCATTCGCACTTGTTCAGAAGTATTGCATCTGCTTGTTGATCAGTGCGTGTATTGAAGAGTTTATATTCTATCAATCTTAATGAGTCCTGTAAGGCTTGTCACTATGATGTGTTGTCTGAGGTTAGCCAAAGATTTTCTATTTGTATCTGTTTTGATATTATTATTTGCATAATTTGATAATTGTCCAAGTGTGTTTTAAAATTACTGTCTAAGGACAAATTACTTCAACTTAGAACCTAATTGTGATGTAATCGAATTTTCTTGCATATCAAAGGAATTAGATATGTTTTCATAGAGTGTATTACTAAAAGATAAAGTAAAGATTTTCAGCAACAGACCAGCTGACATAAGTAAAACTTTAATGAGTAAACCAACTGGCAAAGCCATATGGTTCATTGTAAGGGAAGTGAAATAGCTAAACATTCAACATTTCATAAATCATTCTGAAATAAAATGTCTCTCTGCAGGCTTGATCACTTTTACAATTGGCTTCACTGGCTGTGTGGGGGCCCTCAGGGAAAACACTTGTCTACTAGCATGTGTGAGTATTTGTATAGCTTGTATAACTTACTGCTGCATTTTTTTTAATCACTGACTGTGAGGAATAGGTATAATTTGTTTGATAATGAAAAGCGATGCATTTTTTAAATATGTGGTTTTTAATTTCAAAGGTGGTTATTCTTATGATACAAAATGTGTTTTCAATTTATTGGTTTATTGATTAAGGTATCCATATAGCTTATTAAAATTTCCTAATGAAGTAGAGTTATTCATTTATTTGATATTTCACAGTACGCCATCTTCCTTGCCATCCTGCTACTCTTAGAAATGACTGCAGGCATCCTTGGCTTCATTTTCAAGGATTGGGTACGTATGTTCAAGTTATTTTGTAGATTATTTCTTCCTTTTTCCTACAGATTTTGTGTTTGTGTGTGTTTGTGTATTTGTGTATTTGAGTAAGTGTATAGAGAAATATGTAGATAAGTATACATGCACATTTGCATGCATGCGGGTGCACACGCACACGCACACGCACACGCACACGCACACGCACACGCACACGCACACGCACACGCACACGCACACGCACACGCACACGCACACGCACACACACACACACACACACACACACACACACACACACACACACACACACACACACACACACACACAAATATATATATACATATATACATATATACATGTACATATACATGTACAAATATAAAAATGTATGTACATGCATTTAACACAACCACCAATTATCTATGTTCTGTCTCCAGTAGGTTTTTGTGAATTTTGGTACATGCAGATGGCTCCACATTTGCTCCACTGGCTAGGAGGCTATCAGTAGGCCCTAGTGACCAATCCTGATTTCCCCATTCCTTGAATTGGTGGAAAAATGTGTTTTTCTTTTTAGTATTATTGGTATCGATACTGTTATAATTGTTACTGATGTTATGATTATTAAATTGTTATTAAAATCTTGGTAAGATTTAAGACAATGAAATAATACAAAAGACCCTTTCCAAAAGTCAAGGAAAAGGATAAACAGGTGAGATAGGTAAGACTCATAACTGACACTTTGGTGATTAACCCATTGCCGCCGGGGATGGCATGTACGTACATGCCATGCCCACTGTGAGTCGATTTGTTCGATTGTTTTTACACATAGATGGCTACACTTGTACTAGGTATCCATTGCGCCAATTACAGTACTGCCTGTCTCGCCCGTTCACCCTTTTCATCGATTTACGAAAATATTTAACGTTATCCTAATTTGCTGTTAAAAATAACACCATCTGTATTTATAGCACTAGTAAGAATACATTTTTTCCTGCCGATTCAAGGAAAGGTGAAATCAGGACTAGCAGAGCCATCTATGTACAGAGATATTTCACAAAAATATAAAAAATGAGTACAGCATTTTCCCCATTTTTTATTCATTTTCCCCAGCAGCAATGGGTTAAGCATTTGTAGAGCCATCTATGTGTAAATACAATAAATAAACTTGTATTACAATGGGGATGGCAAGTATTCTTGCTATCCGTACTGATTGGGTTAAATGTACACATTCATATATATTTGTATTTATGTATTCACACATGCATGCACACACACACATATACATATACATACGCATACACATACACATACACATGCATATATAGATTTAATTCCCCCATCTTTACAAAGTGTTATATATTTATGCAATTAACAAAAAAGAAGAAAAGTTCACATTACTTCAAGCCTTAAAATCAAACTTCCTCACAATGCAGATAAAATCCCAAGCAACCAACGGGTTCCAGGCATTCATTGTTCACTACCGTGATGACCCTGACCAGCAGAACTTGATCGACTGGATACAGGAGAAATGGGTGAGTTGTCTGATCAGGTGTTAATAGTTGTTTTGCATTTTGTATATTATTTTACAATTATAACTTTGTTCTGTTTTATATTCATATTTTTATGATGAATTATTTTTATTGAGCTTTCTAATAGTTCTTCTTATCATCATTGTTTTTGTTGTTATCAATATCATTATTAGATGCTATTCTTAGTATTTCTTAGTATTATTGCCATTGTTATATGATTTAATTCAATCATGCCAGATGTTTAAGTATGTCATAACAGATGGGGTTCAAATGCCAGTACCAAGTACCAAGTCACAAACATTAAGCCCACTATAACTTCTCAGAGCCAAAAAATGAATAGGTGCTTGGCCATGACTGTAGCTATTTAGAAAATAACAGCCCCTTAGATTTGTTAAAATTTCTTCTTTGCCTCATTCCCTAAAAACTTATGTATCCCACAGCCAAAAACAGAGATATGATATTTGTATTCTTCCCACACTTTCCACACAAGTGACTGACTTTGTGCAATGCCCATTGCATGGCTTGGTATGGTGTGGGGAAGTTGGCTATTGAGTGGGTTAGGGTAGGAAATTGAGTTTGTCTGAAATAACTTATTCTTTATGGACTAAGAAATAATTTTTTTCCCCCCTCTCTCCATCTCAGTTGGAATGCTGTGGCATTGAGGGGCCAAAGGACTGGGATCGAAATATTTATTTTAATTGCTCATCGGAGGCTGTTGGCTCAAGGGAGGCCTGTGGAGTCCCATTCTCATGCTGCAAACAAAAAGCTGATGTAAGTTACTGCTTTTGTAAAATGTTTTGGATGTATATTGATTAATCTGAGATTTTGAATGGTCTCTGATTTTACAGTTTACCTTTGCAGTAAGGGGCTAACTGGAGTTAATAAGAGGTAGTGGACCCAATGAATCCTTAAGCAGTCCCAAATACAGGCAAGGAGGGCACAGACAAAGCTTTTGTCAGTATCATATAGAGGGGAGGAGGGAGCATAGTAGATGACAAAATTTCACTATAATAATTAGAATCCATTATAAAAATGTCTTTTACTACAAGGGTAACTGTATATGTATAAAAAATTTGTCTTGTCTTTTTGATTTGTGATTTGGCAAAGATAATTCTCTCATTGTTCTTAATTTTCATGTATGTCCAATCTTTTACGCATTTCAGGAAATTATAAAAAATAAACAATGTGGATACGATGTGAGAAAACAAGACTATGTAAGTAAATATTGCTGTGCTTTGTATAATTGAGATTAGTTTTTGAATAAGTTTTAAGGAATAGTGATATATTCTTGATATTTGTGATATATAAATGAAAAATACCACTGAAATATTGAATTATGACATAGGCTTTGCATGAATTCTTAGTCCTAGATATATTATTCAGAAATAAACTAACATGGCTGAAGTCAACTATCACACAATGCAATTTATTTTTCCTGTCTCATGGCAGATGAGACACTTGCAATTGGGGCATATTGCACATTTGCATATGCAGTGCTGTTGCCTTTTAGATGAGTCTGTTCAAAAGAAGTTTTTGATTTGTAGAAATAAAGAAAAAGCTGATTAGATATTACTTGGAAGGTTATATTGCTCAAATATTATATTTCATTGTGATTGTTCAGTGATGAAGTTGTAAAGTCTAAGCTATGAAAAAGACAGATAGTCTAAATCATACGTTTGAAGTAATCACAAAGCTTCATACATGATCTCTAATTATTTTATAAATTGCCCAGAGGATAAACTGCAAGTCTCTCTCTGTTTCTAACTCTGTTTCCTGATTTTCACCTTTATTTTTTACACTGCCTCTTTGTTAAATTGCTGAATGTACATCTATCATAAACAAACATTTCTCTAGCTCATATACTCTATCACAGGGATTCTATCAAATTTGTTTAGTCTTTTTCACATTTCTGGTGGTATCTTTATTGCCAGTTGGTTTAGATTGTGTACTCCTGAACCTTCCGCTGCAGTACATTATTATTTAGTCTTGATTTAATTCCACAGTAAGGAATCATCATTCAGGATAAGTTAGCAATATAATTAATCTCTAAGTAGACTGCTCAAGTTGGTCTACAGTATTTTTGGAAGTAATCTCATTGTTAAATCATTTGAGACCTGCAGTAAAAGAGAGTTCAGTGGAATATGCATTTCTAACATATATTGGTATTATCTCTTTGTATTATCCCCTCCACCTTTGTTAACACTAACAAAACCTAGAAAATCACATTAACCATTATTGGTGTTGGAATATGGGGGTCCCGCAGCATGGCGATCGATCCCTGGTTATTTACGAACGTGGCTGTCTACGAGCGGGTGAAGAATGGATAGAATCGAACCTTGTGCCTGTGGCAGGTGTAGCAGTGGGGGTGGCGGTGCTCCAGGTATGCAGTTCGAAATGCATCAGCACTAACCCTCGTGTCAACTGAAGAACTGTCAGTTGGCCCATGGTCATTTAGCATCTTTTTCTGCATGAATTACTTTTATAAATGTTATCTTTGGAATCACTAGAACTTGGTGGCAGTATTTCCTGTAAAGCATGAAGAAATGCATGAATGATATGGGTATTACTGAGCATAAGGAAGGAGTCTCATTCTGTAGTTTTGAGATTCATTTAGACTTTGTTTCAAAATGGTAACCCATTGGCACCAGGTCATTTTATTTTGTGAATTTTGTTTACACATTGATGGCTCCATGAGTGGTTAGTCACCAGAGTAGACCCAGTGAGACCTCATCTTCAGTTTTTGTAGATTTCTTTTTAGAAGTGAAAAGAAAGATCAATAATTATTTCAAAAATCAAGGAAAAAGGTAAACAGATGAGATGGGTAAAATTAGTTTATGAGTCCTGGTGACTAAGCACTTCAGGAGCCATCAATAAATCAAAATCACAGTGAGTATGGCATGTATGTCATACCATGTGACATGCACATACACCCCCCCCCCACAGACACATATACACACACACATACACACATATGTATACACATACACACATGTATACACATACATAGATAAATGTAAACATACGTGCATCCATGAATACATACATGCATATATGAATGCATATATAAATGCATACAACAAATATGTATACGTATATACTTGCATCCTTTTATATATATATATATATATATATATATATATATATATATATATATATATATATATATATATATATATATATACACATACATACACATACACATACACATGTATGTATGTATGTATGTATATATGTATATATGTATATATATATACACACACACACACACACACACACACACACACACACACACACACACACACACACACACACACACACACACACATACATACATACATACATACATACACACCCACATATGCATACATGCACATACATACACACACACACACACACACACACACACACACACACACACACACACACACACACACACACACACACACACACACACACACACACACACACACACACACACATATATATATATTTGCACATATTTACACACACACACACACACACACACACACACACACACACACACACACACACACACACACACATATATGTATATATATATATTTTAGAAATAAAGAATTTCATATATATTTATGTATATGCCATATGTCTTTCCATATTGAGTAAGTCATACCCATTCACTTATAGCTCCTATTGCGCAGTTAAATTTATTCCACCAGTAGAAGGAAAATTGCACCCTCAGTAGATTTATTATTTGCCTCTGGTAAAAGGTTGCATGCTTGCAAGATTTTTATTTTCACTAGCAGTTGTACCAAGTAGGAATATCTAACCACTTTGACTGTACTGGCTAAGAAGATCATGAGATGGTAAAGCCGTAGTACTACAATATGAATCGCACCCTCTTTTGCTGCAGCAACTGGACGTATCACAGATTCACGACAAAGGATGCTTACAAGCAGGTGAAGAGTGGTTAGAAAGAAACTTGCTCTTTGTTGCTGGTGTGGCAGTGGGTATTGCCTTCCTTCAGGTGAGTCTCTATGGGAGTTGCCTTAATCCAGATGAGTAGCTGCTGTTCAAACAGAGATAACTTTATGTATATTTATTTGTTGCCATTTAGTCCATGGAAGGTTATAGTGTCCAGTATTCACAGCAGTTTATATATGATCTTCCCCTCCCCTCTTGCTCTTTTTTTATGAATTCCAGAAATCCAAAAATAGTTGTTTGTACTTTAAACAGGCAGAGACTGCCTTTGTCACAAGCAAGCAAAAGTATATTTACATATAGAGTAAATGCTTATTGAATTCTAGATTCATCATATATATCTCATTTAAAATATATTTGCACTAAATACATAATCAAAATTAAAGTATTAGAACCTCAAAAATTCACAGGTAGTAAATTATGTGCAGAAAATATTTATTGCATCATGATAAATATTTTGTTGTGAGTAGGAAAATTAAATTTTGTTAGATAAAGTGCTGCTAGAAATTGCCATTAGTATTCTTGAGACTGAATGACTGCCTTTCTAATTAATATATGCAATGCTTTTGTTTTAACCCATAAAATGTGTGACCCCTGAAAAAGAAAGAAATACAAGTTCATTTTAAAAGTTTCTATCTCTTCTAAAATAATGGAACTTGTCAAGAAAAATGAGAAAAATAAATTTATATCTACTTACACCCAGCTGGCTTTTGGGCAGTTTTCATAAATCTGTCAGCAAAGGATTGTCCAGTTTGTAATAGCCTGGGAATGTCTTAACCCAATGCCTTCAGTGAGTTTTGTTGATTAATTGTATTTACATATAGATTGTTTCACAAGTTATTAGTCATCACCTGTTTACCTTTTTTGTTTTTATTCTATATAGTTATTAGTATAGTTAACACTAATAATTATAGTCTCAGTAATAATGATAACAGCATTGTTGTTAATAGCATTAGAAAAAAACTCCCTAAATCTCAAGGAAAGGAAAA